ATGCAACCAAGAAATGTAGGCAGAATTTTCTGTCTTGCCAGCAGCTCCCCAAATAACCACATAAAGAATTTCAATATTTATTATAAATGCTTCGCTGATCGCTTAGCTTGTTTTTAGCTAGCTCTTATAACTTAAATTAATCCATCTCTATTCATCTATATCTACCCAGAGACTTGTTTACCTCATGTATGTACTTCCCATCCTGCTCACTCTGTGTCTCACACACCCTCCTCTCACTCTGCCCTTCTTCACCCCAGCATTCTCTCTGCCCTAAAAATCCTAGGCAGGATTATTATATTATTATAAAATTTTATTAACAATAAGAGCAACATGTCTTCATGGTGTGCAAAAGGATTATTCCATGCTTTCCCCTTTTTGTCTAATTAAGAAGGAAGGTTTTAATGTTAACATAGTAAAATTATATACAACAAAACCGGTTATCAAGTAAGAATTACAGTTACAATATCAGTCACAGTATCCAGCCCATTTGTATTTGGCAATATAGAGAAAATACTCCATCAGTTGTTCTCTCCTGAGGAGTCCAGAGTTTTGTACTTAATTTCCTTTCTACCATGATTAGGGAGAATTGCAACTGTCTAGTCTTCAACCTCATCAAAGACCTGAGAAAGACATAATAATACCTCAATAGACAGGAAGTACAGAGCAAGTGATTTCCAAATTTAAGAGATGACAGAAGCAGCTGGCTACCTGGACAGTCACATAACAGTGGGGCATCCAACTTTGGTCTATAGGCCTAGTAATCTGACAGACATTTTTGAGAAGCAGGGGATTTTGAAGAACTTGTCCTACATTGTCCTGGCAAAGTTTGGCAGTCACCTACTTTTGCTCCTGCTGGTCTAGTTTGGACAGTATACAGTCAACAAAGAGATAATTTTCTTTTAAGATACACAGAGAAGCAATTCTGGGAAATATTGGGAGAATATTCTGCCTCGTTCCCCTTTCTTCAAGGGATAAATCTAAGGCTCTTGAGAAAGCCCATATCAGAACAAGAAGCCCTAGAAGACTGGCAGATAAGAGGGGCTTGTCCCCATCACACCATAAACACACATAAACAAGACTAAGTTAGATACAAAGCTAAGATTGAAGGTTAAATACGTAAATACTGTTTGGTATAGCAACGCCAAATCTCATGAGGATAAATGTACAAAAGATATGCTTAGATCATCTAAAATAATACCTATCATGGTAGTATTATGTGTACATTACAGGTCACACGAGGAAACTACAAGGAATATCCAGGAGGCTATTCAAAGTGATGAGGATTGGCAAATCTGACACCAGAATGAATTACAGCCTTGGTTCAGCTATTCTTTTTTTGTCATATTTGAACATATTTTAATGGCTATCATTGCTTTATTCACATTAGGTTTATCATTATTGCAGTTAACCTCTCATTTATTTTGGTTGGTGTCTTCCTTTGAAAGTCTTCGGCATTCCAGTTGGTTTTGATTGGTCTTTTTTGTTGTGCTGCATTAGTAATAACTTAATTTAAACAGTGATTTCCAGCTTACAAAGAACTGGTATTATTATTCACAGCAACTCTGAGAAAGAGGCAGAGATTGCAATTTTTGTGTCATACGTGAGGAAACTGAGATGCAGTGAAGATAAGGGATTGCTCAAGTATTAATATGGAGAATTGCAGAGCTGAAAGTCAAACAGAGGGTTTTTTTCAGTTCCAGAGTATATGTCTCAAAGGGAATGAGAGCCTTCACTTAGTTCACCTAGCCGGCAAAGATGCAATGTCTACCCCATTAGATATTCTTATTTTCATGTATGCACAATTACACACACACACACACACACACACATCAATCATAAAAGAAAAAATGGCAAAAAAAATTAGCAAAGAAAACTCACAGCATTGTGCTTTCCATTCTTAGAAAAGGAAGAGAGGCAAGGAAACCCAACACCATCACTTCCCAGCAGGGGTTCTCAGCTACTTCTTCCCTATAGGTGTTTGTATATGGCAGCAAATCTGGTGTTTTCTGAGTTATATGAAAGAACCACTATACCACGTTGACCACCAAAACCATCTTCAGGGACCAGAAGGAAATTAGTAAGGATAAGTCTGGCGATAAATTCTAACCAAGGCCCTTCCATAAATATTCAAGTTAAAACTGAGCAGAGTTTACTTAAATAAAAAACCAGAGAAATGATAGAAGGCTGACTGGATGAGATGGTTTGAGAGAAAGGCCAAGCCTCTGAGAGGACCTGGTAGAAGGAAACTCAGTCCTGCTGAGTCCTGGGGATTTACCTGGTCTTTTAGGCATTATTTTGCCTTCTAGTTTTCCAGCATTTCCCAAGTGCATTATTTAAGTGTGAACTAGCACATCAGCCGAACTGCTGGAAAGGTGATGGCAAGCATGCGAGTCCATTACTAAGGTTCAATAACGGAGTTCATTCACCCTGAAGGGTAGAATCACATACTAATGAAGTCCTAGCATCTCTGTTATCAGGGATTGCCATATATTTCTGGTGTGAATTAACACGTTCAGCTTTCTAATGAGTACCTAAAGACACTGAATATTAAAATCAGGCAGAATTTCAAATAAAACTGAGACCTATTTTTTAACAAGTGAAGATCTGGAAGGGCTTTACTTAGCAACTAATATCTAGACAAAAAAATAAAGTTGAAGTACCCGTCTCAGTGGGTGAAAACAGTAGGGTGTATAGTATGCTGGATTTGAGTTTTAGAGAAATTTATGTTGCGTTGAATATTTGTAAACTAACTCTGGAAAAAAAAAACATGGAAGAGCAATGAGAAAATAGGGGATTTAAAAACTAAAGTTGATGCAAAATTTATTCTTTTCCCAATGTGCATTGCTACTCCTTAAAGGTATGCACCTCTGTCATCATTCCCAGTGTAGCTCCCTGAGGCCAGGACTCAGTGATTATATTATATTCAACCTTGTACTTCTCAGATGGGCCTAGCACTGTTTCTGATAGGAATTTACTAAATTATGGTGTACTTTTTTTTTTTACAGCAGATGTTCTTTTAAACCTAAAATAATTTAATATTAATAAAAATAAGCCAGTACTCATTTTATGGTTCTTTCCAAATGGCTTCTAATAACCACTTGATCATTTAGAGGGGCAGAAGATAACAATAATATCTAACTCCTCTCACCAGTCCATGTCTTAGTCGGACATTAAAATAAACAGTTCTTCCTTGAAACTGTGCTGATTATATCATGGAGAATGCTTTATAAATCATTTAATGACTCATGTACTTCATTTATTCCCTGAAGGAAAGAAATGATTAATTTGTATATTTAGAAAAACGAGAAAGCAATGAATTTTCTGATAGGGATTCACATTAAATATTTTCTTAGTTCTGGTTTTTGATTTTTGTTTTGTTTCGTTTTTGTCTTCTTTTGCTTTATTAACTAATCCTTCTGTATTCTGTTCAGATACCTGGCATCACCCTTGAATTGGATGGCACAAATTCAATGCCAAAGCCGAACATCGTAATCTAGAATTAAGTTAGGTAGATAGTTAATTGCGAAGAAAAACTCCCATGGAAACAGAAGTTAAATTAGTTGTACACACGTCTTTTTGAGATGTTCCAGGACATAGTTACATTAACAATGATTGTGATGCTCTTGCTCCTTCTCATTCTCCAGTGTTATGAGACTCTCTATTTTGCAATTAGTCTTTTAATAAGGCATAGAGTACAACACCAACTCAGGACCAGTACAGGTTCCTCAGTGGTGGGAGAGAGGACACTAAACAGACTTCCAAGTGTGCTGTGCCTGCCCCCTCATGTCCATTAGTGCACATCGCATGTCCCTGGCTGTTTGGTCTCCACCCTAGGGTGTTACCACATAGAAGTCTCCTCAATCTGGTCTTTATAAGCAGATAAGCTCCCATTTATATTTATTCTATTAACTGTTTACTTGCAAAGAGCACCATTAAATAGAAACAGTCTGTTCTTGTGAATAGTCAGACATCGCCCTCTGTCTTATTTATACAACTAATTTGCCTTGTAAACTTCCTTTCTTTCATAAAACTTCAAAGATAACCTTTAATGGACGCTGGCTCCAGCTAACCAAATTCTGAACAAATCACTTCATAGTATTTAAATCGAAGCAAGAAGTACATAATTACGGCAGTGATTTTTAAAATGACCGCCTGGCACTATCAAATGGAATGTCCTTTCTCTGTAGTTTTTGGTGTTGTTTTTATACTTATTGTACCTTCATATTTATATGTATTTATGACACCTCAAGGCAACCAGGAAAGCATCTAGCAGATGAGCAATCTCTTCTCCTGTCACAGACCAGACATTTTTAACTGTTTGCAGTTAGAAACCCATTACTGTCCTATTGAGCAAGGCTAGAAATATCTGAGTCAAAGTGTTAAAGAGATAAAACCCAATTTTTCTCTCTTATAAATTTAAGGATGGATGTAGCTCCTCCATGGTCAGCCAGGGCTCAAGTTTGTTGCTCTACAATCCCCAATACAAAGATTTTTATGACATAGTCCCAAGGGCTCTGGTTCATTTCCAGGCAATAAGTATATTAGCAATCCAGCCAGCAAGGAGGAAGAGAGGGAGGAGCATTCTCACTGCTTCCAAGGAGCCTTCTAGAAAACAGCAGTAGCATCTATTAAAATTATATTCAATTGGCAAAAATTGACAAAATCATCACAACTATCTGGATGTCTTTATTCTGAGTTTCTCTATTCCACGCTAAAAGCTGGGTTTTCTGACATTGTGGGGAAATTGCAGAATTGGTATTTGGAGACACTAGCAATCTCTAGACTACATTCCACTAATTGCCTTAATTTGACTGACCTGACTCTTCTGGCATTTGTTCTCGTTCTAATTAAAAGCTAGCGTCTTCATTTCATCGTCCTTCCTCTTATAAAGCTCTGGCAATAAAGACTGTACCCACTTTCTGTAATCTCTTGTCTCTAAGCCGATAGCAGTCTCTTGGCCTGCAGGTCCTCACTGTGTCGCTGTGTTCCTTTTTCCGCAGGTGATGGCTGTGCCACCCAGGCCTCAACAGCTGCTGGGAGTGCTGCTCACCATCATCTCACTGAGCTCCGTCAGGCTCGCTCAGGCTGGTGCCTACTATGGAATCAAGCCGCTGCCACCTCAAATTCCTCCTCAGATACCACCGCAAATTCCACAATACCAGCCCCTGGGCCAGCAAGTACCTCACATGCCATTGGGCAAAGATGGCCTTTCCATGGGCAAGGAGATGCCTCACATGCAGTATGGCAAAGAGTACCCACACCTACCCCAATATATGAAGGAAATCCAACCTGTGCCAAGAATGGGCAAGGAGGTGGTACCCAAGAAAGGCAAAGGTAACATCATATTACACAGTTTCAAAATAGCAGTGCTACAGACTCCTAAACTATAAAAGCTGAGAGGGAAAAATATAATGCAAGGACTTTTATTTTTAAATTTGTTATTGCTGTGAATCACATGCAGTTCTTGCAAAGTTCAAATTTAAAGAAAGATACAGAGAAAGGGCCTTTAGGTCAGGTTATGCAATTCCAAGTGGTCAAACATGAAATCATATACATACAAGCAACACTAAATAGACTCAGCAGGTTTTACTTACATATTTATGCACTATACACACACGCACACACACACAGCCATAAGTAAAGGAAAAGAAACCTTGAGTTTGAGAGGGATGGAGAGCACATGGAAGGGGCTAGAGGAAAGAATGGAAAGGAGATAAGATGTAATCATATTTTAATTTAAAAATAAAAATTATTACAGGGGTTTGATCTTCATCATTAATAAAAAGTTAAAGTTATAACTTATATTTGGTTTTAATATTTTAGCTAACATCAGACTGAACAAAGCATATTTAACCAGAGTCTATCTTTAAATATATTATTAATTTATTTAAACAGTCACCAGCTCTCTAGTGAGCACTTGGCGGGGGCTTAGACTCTGAGCAGACGCAGGGAGTTCAAGGAGCAGAAGGATAAAACTACGGGGTTAAAGAAGAGTAACAAGTCACTCTTCCAAGTCAAGAAAATAATATTTTGGGGAACTTATATAAAATAAAACTCAAATGAAAGCATTTCACAAACTAGGTGCTACACCTAAGAGTTTTCAGTACTGCTCCAAAGTACACAAGTCTGTCACTAAGCCATTAGGAAGCTAAAATGCACAGAAAAATTTCCCGTCACTTCCTAGGACTATGTATTAGGTCTATTACACCTACAAAGTACTCCTTGCTGTGAGATGCTCATAGCATGTGTGGGGGAAATGGGAACCATAGAGTAGCAATCACCATGAAGGATGTGGAGGACATGAAGAAGCCTAGCTGCCTAGAACCCAGAAATCAGAGGAAATTATTCGTTCACTCCCCTGGTCTTTAAAATAAGGTTGTTGAGAGAATCAGAGGCGTAAGGCAAGTGGTGCTGAGTCAGCACTAAAGCATCGAGGGGTTTTGTGTGACTGCAGCTGTCAGTCATTCCAGATGCTCAGGCAGAGGGGAAAGTGCTCCAGGAACTGTGCTAAATAAACATCAGGGATCCCAGAGCAATAAGATGTGATACTTCAGGGTGCTGGCCTATGCCTGTAGTCTGGAGGCTGTGGCAGAAGGATCACAAACGCAAGGCCACCCTGGGCTCCACACATGTAGTGTTAATGTATATTAGGAGGTTATCAGATTTTCCCTTGACTACAGTTTGTTTACTAGTGTGTGTTAATGTAAGTATTTCTCATATTTTTACTCTCCAGGAGCTTGTATACCTTTTAGGGAGTCATGTAGGTCAGAGGTTCTTAACATGGGGGTCAATAACCCCCTTGGGTGTATAGCAACCCTTTCACATGGGTTATCTAAGATCATCGGAACATGCAGATATTTACATTACAATTCATAACAGTAGCAAAAACAGTTATGAAATAGCATTTTACGGATGGGGAACTGTATTAAAAGGTTGCAGTATTAGGAAGTTTGAGAGAGGCCTGTTCCAGGTCCTTTTCCCCCCTCCCTTCTTGCATGGCCTGCCTGGCTTCTGGTGCCTCTTGTATCTATTCAGATGATTACTCCTACGTGGGAAGAATATGGCTTCTAAGATTCTCTTTTGTTTCCTGGCAGTAGTTCTGCAGATAGCACAATGATCAGACTTACAGGCTGAAAGAAGACTTTGGAAGCACATATTTCATGTCTCCATTCCCCCACTTCTCCCAGGAGCATGGAATATCCAGAGCTGTTTGTCTGCAAAGCACAGCATACTCCCACACGTGCTTTGTATTTCAGTAGCAAGGTATGAGGGCTGCCCCATGTATTCTCTAGTATGCGGCTGTGTTATTCTGGCTATGGCCGTAGGAAGTCAGTGATGCTGACAGCTTAAGTAACCTAGTCAAAACCTCATGCCCAGGCCAGAAAGAGAAACAAGATATCCTCTTTCTAAATCAAGCTTCTCTCCTAGTCTGAACTGAATGCTCATTAAACCTAAACTTCTAAGAGAAGGAATTTCTTCAAAATCGTATATTTGAGGCTTGAGAAACCTTCTACCATGTCAAAGACACTAAGCAAATCCATTGGGTCTTGAAGATAGATGTGGAGAGATGTTGTTAAACCACACACGAAATAAAAAGCTTCCCTTTTTCCTGGGTCCATGGCAGAGTGATTTTCATCACCCATATTTCAGCACGTAAGGAAACATCATTTAGCCCTGCATTATTAAATTAAAAAAATAATACAAGCCAGCTGGGCACAGATAGACAAGCACCATGGGTCTGACTAATATGTAGTATTATGTCAATGCACAGAAGCAGAGACAAGAATGTTGGTGGTTCCTATAGCAGATGCTAAGAGGTATAAGGAGTTGAGAAGAGGAATGGATGGAGAAGACAATGGTCAAGAGATTCAAAGCCTCAGGCAGGCAGGCAGGAAGAATATGATTTTGATTTTGTTTTATTTATTTTTAATTCTATTACCAAATGTGGTAAATATATATATTTAAAACTAATAAAAACTTCAAATGCTGTACCCACAAAAATAAGTATGTAAGGTGATAGAAATGCTGATTAGATGGTTTAATTATTCCACATTTTATTCATAAATTGTATACTTTGAAACCCATAAACACACCATGTAACTTGTCAATTTATAATGAAATCTCTCAATTGATAAGACAGTCATGGAAAAATACAATATAATTTCAAGTAGAACTGTTTAAAAAAATAAAAACAGAGTATGACTCCAGCATTCTCTAAAATACACACAAATGTGTGCCTTAAACAAATGAGCTGAAAATACCATACCTCTGCCATGTGGGCTCAATGGCAATGTGTTGTTGGTGGTGGTGGTGGTGGTCCTTTCATTACATAACTTGAACCTTCCCAAATTCTGTATGAATACACTATGGTATCTTCAATTTTTGCACGTGGAAAATTTTTGTTTGATTATTTTTCAGCTTTTAAAATTTAACCAGTGCTGATACAAGCATCTGAATATAAGAGTTTCCCCCAACAACTCAGACACATCGCAGAACCTGGCAGCTTGATTTTTCTTAAAATCCTGGTATCATACAGGAGAAGGCTTGGGAAGATGAGCATATTATCTCTAGCCTTCCCTTTTGATACATAACAGGCAAATGTGTCCAAATTAAGTGACTACTATTACTTCCTTCAAATAAGGGATAACCATTCTCCCTGCTCCTTTCTCTGCTTTTCCAGGAGAAATACCTTTAGCCAGTTTGCGAGGAGAACAAGGTCCCCGTGGAGAACCTGGACCAAGAGGACCACCTGGGCCACCAGGTTTGCCAGGTCATGGAATGCCTGGAATCAAAGGAAAACCAGGGCCACAGGGATATCCAGGAATTGGAAAGCCGGGTATGCCTGGGATGCCTGGAAAGCCAGGAGCCATGGGAATGCCTGGAGCCAAAGGTGAAATTGGACCCAAAGGGGAAGTCGGGCCTATGGGAATCCCAGGACCACAAGGACCTCCAGGACCTCATGGACTTCCTGGCATCGGGAAACCGGGTGGGCCAGGGTTACCAGGGCAACCAGGAGCAAAAGGTGAAAGAGGGCCCAAAGGACCACCCGGACCTCCGGGTCTTCAGGGTCCCAAAGGAGAGAAGGGCTTCGGGATGCCAGGCTTGCCGGGTCTGAAGGGTCCTCCAGGTATGCATGGCCCTCCTGGCCCAGTTGGGCTGCCAGGAGTCGGAAAACCAGGTGTAACAGGCTTTCCTGGACCCCAGGGTCCCCTGGGGAAGCCAGGCCCTCCAGGGGAACCTGGACCACAAGGTCTTATTGGTGTGCCAGGAGTTCAAGGACCTCCCGGGATGCCTGGAGTTGGAAAACCGGGCCAGGATGGAATCCCTGGCCAGCCAGGATTTCCAGGTGGTAAAGGGGAGCAAGGACTGCCAGGGTTGCCTGGACCCCCAGGCCTCCCAGGGGTTGGAAAGCCAGGCTTCCCAGGACCCAAAGGGGACCGGGGCATTGGGGGTGTTCCTGGGGCTCTTGGACCAAGAGGGGAAAAAGGACCAGCAGGTGCTCCTGGAGTGGGAGGTCCTCCTGGAGAACCAGGCCTACCTGGAATGCCAGGGCCCATGGGCCCACCAGGTGCTATTGGTTTCCCTGGGCCCAAAGGAGAAGGTGGGGTGGCAGGACCACAGGGTCCACCAGGTCCTAAGGGTGAGCCAGGCCTCCAAGGCTTCCCTGGAAAGCCAGGTTTTCTTGGTGAAGTAGGTCCCCCTGGCATGAGGGGTTTGCCTGGTCCTATTGGACCCAAGGGAGAAGCTGGTCACAAAGGGTTGCCAGGGCTTCCTGGAGTTCCGGGGCTGCTTGGACCCAAGGGAGAACCAGGCATACCCGGGGATCAGGGTCTACAGGGACCCCCAGGCATTCCAGGGATTGTAGGACCTAGTGGCCCTATTGGACCACCTGGGATTCCAGGCCCCAAAGGAGAACCAGGCCTCCCAGGTCCCCCTGGATTTCCAGGTGTAGGGAAGCCAGGAGTGGCAGGCCTTCACGGTCCCCCGGGGAAACCTGGTGCCCTTGGGCCTCAGGGCCAGCCTGGTCTTCCTGGGCCCCCAGGCCCTCCAGGGCCCCCAGGACCCCCAGCTGTGATGCCCCCTACACCACCGCCCCAGGGAGAATACCTGCCAGACATGGGACTAGGAATTGATGGAGTGAAACCTCCGCATGCCTATGCGGGCAAGAAGGGCAAGAACGGTGGGCCAGCCTATGAGATGCCAGCGTTTACTGCAGAGCTGACTGCCCCTTTCCCACCGGTGGGGGCCCCAATAAAGTTTGACAAGCTGCTCTACAACGGCAGACAGAACTACAACCCACAGACGGGCATCTTCACCTGTGAAGTCCCGGGTGTCTACTACTTTGCTTACCATGTTCACTGCAAGGGAGGCAACGTGTGGGTTGCGCTCTTCAAGAACAACGAACCCGTGATGTACACTTACGACGAGTACAAGAAGGGTTTTCTGGACCAGGCTTCTGGGAGTGCAGTCCTGCTCCTCCGACCTGGAGACCGGGTGTTCCTACAAATGCCCTCAGAACAGGCGGCCGGACTGTACGCCGGGCAATATGTCCACTCCTCCTTTTCAGGATATTTATTGTATCCCATGTAAAAAAAAATGAAAAAGAAAAAAAGAAAGAAAAAGAGAGATTTAATAGAAGAAAAGAAAATGACACATCAAAAAATCCAATTATAAACAATGCTTCAAAACACTTAAATAGTTGGAAAGTTGTTTTTAAGTGAAAGTTTAGACCATCATGTACAAATAAAAACTAAGATGCATGTTTAATACTGTGCACAGCAGATTGTAACAGAATGATGGGACAGATTTATGGATCAAGTACAGACATGTGTGTTGTGCCCACTGGACACACATTAGCTGTTGCACGTTATATGATGATTTCATAGCCTACTTATTCAAATCAGTCAAAATATGTCAGTCTGGATGATCATAGCTAATGAAAGTCACTCCTTCCTTGTGCTCCCTTGAAAAAGTATTTTTGAATATGCCTTGAGAGGTTCCCGGTGACAGCTACATACAGTATTTATTTGCATAATTTCCTCTCTATTTGTGCAGATGCTTTGCTGTGGGATGTGGGAGAGTTGTTCTGTAGTGCCAAGACCATGGTAATCTCTAGTCCAAAGGCGATTTCTCCATGTCAGAGGCTGTGCGTTTAGCTGCAGGACTACTTAGTCAGAACTGTGCGTTAGTGGTCTCCCCAGAGGAGCAGGTGTGTCGACGGCCCATTGCATATTTGCTCAGCACTCTCTTTGTCGAGAACTGGGTGAGGGTCTAGTGTGTGATATAACGCAGAGTGCTCAGGGTTCGTAATTTAGCTGAGAGACGTTAATGCATTAGCTCACCTAAAGAGCTTCAGTTTGGCATTTTTCTGGAACCCAATTTTCTTTTTCTTTTCTTTTTTCTTCTTCTTCCTTCCCATAATTTATACTATAGCCTAAACAATATAAACATATTTTTAAAAAGTCTTCCTCAAATAACTTTGCCACTTTGTGAACTTTTATTATTAAAAGCAACTATCAGTTATGTTTACATGTGTTTAAAAAAAATCCCCCTAATTTGCCCATACAACCAATGGTAGTAAGGTTTCCATTTGTCCATACGTGTTTTAGTAGCTGTGTTTTTTCCAAGTAACTATGAATTTTAAAAATATGATTTATATTATGAGGTTCCAAAGTCATTTGCCAAAATCCAAGCCATTTTTTTTTAATTGGGGGGGAAAAAAACGTTCAGAATTATATGCAAAAATAATTAATTTTAAAAGAGTAATTAAAAGATTTGATATTTAATAGCAGATGTGTTGTTTCCAGCTATAGTAACTAAAATTGTAGGGAAATGACCGTTTCTTTAACATCAGCCTTTGGAAGAGGTGGCTGGAATGTCACAAAGCTCTGGGAGCCCATGCCTATGACGTCACCACACACTCAGCAGCACAGCCGAAACAGGTTTGAAAGGAGAAAGAAATGTTTCAGAGTCTCACTAAGGCACAGACTAGATCCTTTGGGCACTGCTCCAAACACAAGCAGTTGAAAGTTTCCTCTTCATTTGCTGTTAGGTATTTGGGGAAATAACGTGGGGCTGCAACGATGATCTCATCTCCTCTCCTCAGAATTTGAGAGTCAGGAATTGAAGAGATAGACATAGATTGGAAAAGACACAAATAAATACAGTATAAAACTTGGGCTATTCCAAATCTGAATTATTTTACCACCACAAATTTTCTTATCCTGGCTTAATCTTCGTCTTTTCCTTTTTATGATACACAGGCTCCATTTTTCTCAAATTTTAAGACAAATGAGTTCATTAGCACAAGGTTTCTCATTCACGGTTCATTGTACAAAGCACTTTCTCATCTGAAAGGAGTCCTACCTAGCCTTCACTTGCAAAGTAAGCAGCATTTCTGTGGATAGCTGTCCTTTGGGTTGCTCCTGAGGACACTGGCTTGTAGTGAGTGACTGACTGGAAGTCACAGGGGTCCCTGGGATCTCTGTTAAATGCTACATTAAAATGATTTGACGGACAGATGGGCCAGCCGCATCATAAAGTTGCTCTTATCTGTACATGTATGGTATTTTAGTCTCCACAAAGAAAGGTAGAAATTATCTCTTAAGTTAAACCAAATTTCACTTTTTGAGATATTTTCCAACTTATTTATTGGTTGTTACTCAATTGCCTATATGTGTGTGTGCATGTGTGTGTGTGTGTGTGTGTGCATGTGTGTGTTATCATATATCAGGCATATGCTTCTAAACTTTTAAATGGAGGAGGAGCAAAATCTATGCCGGATACTGTATATTCTACCATGGTGCTAATATCAGAGCTAAATGATACTCCATTTAATTTAAAGAAGAGTTTTAAGTAATTATCTATGTCCCCGCGTTTCCCTTTGGAGTGCTGTACATCATGTTAACACATTAGTGTGAAAGCAGGTGAAACAACTATATGTTCTACAGCCTAGGGACACTAATGATCCCTATTTAAGTCAAAATTAACTAGAGCTTTTCCATGTGAAATAGACCAAACTGGCATTGTTCTTATTTAAACACAGAGTTTTAAAGTAGTATGACATCCCACAGGGGAAAAGAATGTCTGTAGAGGATAATTGTCCTCGGATATTTTACAGAAACAAAGAGTGATGAAAAGACTGGTAACTTGTTTGGGTTTCCATGAATAGATTTGAGACTTAATGGCAAATCAATTTTGTATTTAAATTTTTGTACTGATTTGAAAAACAGATCATTAAATATCTTTAAAAGTATGTTTCTTGTCTTGTTTATATTGCTCGACTAACACTATAGGAACCTAAAATGGTTTTGAATCACCCCGGTAGAAAGGAGCCACTGAACTAGGACCTAAGAATAACCATAGTTTAAACAGGACACTGAACTCCTCTTCAGTGTAACGGTTCTGTATACAAGCAGTCCAGGGCTCCTCTGTAGTCCTTACTTCACACTCTTTCTGCGTTCTTGTTTTTCCACCCAAGTGTGTTGGTCTTCTTCTGCTTTGGTGAAAGATAGTTGACCTTAGCAATCACATGCCAACTGGTGGGAGGGCAGAAAAATCAGGAAGAAAGAGATGTTAGTTTATTCTTAAAAACAAAACAAAACAAAACAAAAACCCAACCTAGCAATTTAGATCCCTCCCTCCATACCCATTGCCATGAATTTAGTCGCATCATGACAAGCTGAGAGACAGTGTGAGACATTATCAGTTCAGGAGCTCTGTTCAGAAGCTGGTCTTAGGAGATCCCTGTGAAAGAGTCATTTGAATCCCAGGTTGAGAACTATTGCTCTAACATGTGAAGATTATAAAGATCACTGTGGAATCAAACCCAATTTCAGATTCTTTTGGGGGGTGTGATTTTTTTTTTAATGTAGAGTTTGGATTGAGGAGGCTCAAAGGTATGGCAAAAGGAATACCCTCACCTCTTTTGATAGGAAAAAAATTGCGTGTGTCAGGGAGGAATATGTGGCTATGTGTATCTGTTGGTTTGTCTGTGGGCCCTAAGCTTAGAAAAAGAAGGAAACTGAGATGAGGGAAATGCCTGACAAGACCAAAGTATCAAAAGATGAGTGAAATAAATGGGTGTGATAACAAAGAAAGGGGCTGGAGAGATGGTTCCGTGGTTACTCTTGCATAGAACTGGATTCAATTCCCAGCACCCACATGGCCAGCTCACAACCATCAGTAACTCCAGTTCTATGGGATCTGATACCCTCCTCTGGTTTCCATAGGCACCAGGCAGGCATACAGTGCATATACATACATGCAAGCAAATCACTCATATTCATAAATCTAAAATTAAAATATTTATGTTATATATATATTTAAAAATAACTGAAGAAAAGTTAAGTGGTATAACTCTTGAATATAGGACACAAATATTTCTATTTCATCTGATGTGAAATAAGATATTGTATACTATTAAGTAAAAAAGCGGTATAAAAATAAGTATTTCAGAAAAATCATGTTGACTGTTTTTGAAAACAACACTGAAGAAGGAAAGAAACAGTAATAAGACCAATTTTAAAAAGGAGAACAGCAGTCATGCAAAAAGGAAATGACATGTCATGCTGAACAGTCCTGAAGGAGCCTAGGTATAAAGAGGAAGAGTAATTGTCAGGGGTTCATTTCAGGGCCATTGAACTCTTCTAGGTACCAGGAATAGAGACTATATTAGTCAGTGTTCTCTAGAGTAACAGAACTTATGTGGGGTTTGTTGGAATGAGTTACAGCCTGCAGTCCTGCTAATCCAACAAAGGGAAAGTGAAGGGAAAGTCCAAAATCCAGTAGTTGTTCAATCCATGAGGTTGGATGTTTCAGCTGTCCTCAGTATATGCTGGTGCCCTAAAGAAGTCCAATGCCAATGGAGCTGCGGCTGTGCTAGCCAGGCAAGGGCAAGCAGGCAGAGAAAAAAAACTTCCTTCTTCTATATACTTATATAGATTTCCATCAGGAGCTAGGACCCAGATTAAAGGTGTGTCTTCCTGTCTCAAGATCCGGATTAAAGGTGTGTGTCTTCCCACCGGATTAGAAGTAGATTCATCCACTTCAAAAAGATCTCACACAGGTTCCTCTCACTTTCTTCTACAGCTCAGGATCCCATTCTAGGGAACGGTGCTGAGATGAGGAGTTAGGCAGCCTCTCTGGTAGGCAGACAGACAAAGAGATCTGCCATGACCAAGTCATAATGGAGAATTTCCAGGATGGCCAGTTTCTTCCTTATCCTCCTGACAAAAGCCTGGTGGTTAAGACAAAAGCCTTGAAGCTTTGCTTTGCTTTGTTTCATTTTATTTTCCCTCCTGTCAGCAGGCCCCCTGCTGATGAACTGGCCCAAAGGGTTTAAGGACAGATTAGAACATGTTACATCACAGTTGTGGGCCAGTCAAAACTCCCATCTTTCTTCAAAATGACCAACTCTAAATTATGGGAGAAAAATTCTTCAAAGACTTTCATCAAGAACAGACAGGATTTCTCGGCTTCATAAATTCCCCCTCTGCTTTGCAGAGCGTCTTTCCTTCTGTGTGTCTTCTACACTGTGCCTCCTCCCTCACAATCAACACCTTTCTCAACTGCTTATGCTGTCTGTAATGTTTGATTTCTCCACTGCTACCTGCTTCACTGGAGATTTTTCCTGCCTCAGGAAACAAGCTGACCAAGAACCCTAGGATGTCCCCCACAGTGGAATTGAATTACCATCTCAATTAACTTAATCAGCATAATGTCACACATTATGTCAAGACAACTGAGACTACCACAATTCAACTCCTCAATTTTCCCTTGAAAACCTTTTTCTCTAAGTCTTCTGGTGGACGGAAGAAGGTAGGTCAGTCTTTTTAGACCTTAACACATAAGCACATCATTTTAAGCATTAATCTTCCATCTTTTGTCTCCAAACTCCCATTTGTATTTCGTAATGCAGAATAAAATCCAGCTTTGGAGTCTCCATAGCTGTTAACAATGGTACAGTTTAAAAGTCCAAAGTCAAAAAAGAAAATAAATAAAAGTATATTTCATTTAAGACTCAAGGCAACCTAACTGTGAAACAACAAACAAACAAAAAAGCTTAGTTACATATTTCCAACATAGAATGGCCGAGAATAAATATTCCCTTTCCAAAGTGGAAAATTTGGGATATAACAAGATCAAAATCCATCAGGACAAATTGCTGTAGCTCTGTGTCCAGTGTCTGGGCCTCACAATGAAATGGCTGTTCTCCAAAAAGATTCACGTGGTTCCACACTACCAACTCTGCCACCCAGAGTGCACACAGCCTCTCTCTTGGGCAGTCCTCTCCATGTCTGCACCTTTCATTAGCATACATCTCTGATATCCTCAAGTCTTCATTGCAACTGAGACTTTGCCTTACAGCTCCACCTGGTGGCCTCTTGGGGCCTCTTGGCTGAGAATTTGACCCTGCTACACCTTATCTTGGTACAGGGCTCCACAACCCCCTAAACCTTATATCTTACACACTTACAAAATTAGTATCACATGTAGTCTGCCCCCTTGGGCCACGACTGTATCAGCTTCTGTGTGCTGATCCCAGGGAAGCACTTTCATGTCTTAGAGGATCCAGGGAACCCCTTGAACTCAATTTGGGTCTTCAAAAAATGGAGTGAGTCTCCTATGGGTTCCTTTAGGACACTCTTCCTATTGCCCCAGTGTAGTACAGAAGGATTCTCTTCAGTAGTGTTGATTTCTTCACAGTTATAGGCACTTGCTCAGTACCAAGCTGAATGTTTGCCTGTCCTGAGTTTTCCACTAGTCTGTATTTCCACTGTATATATTTCTGAGCATTCTTCTCTTTCAAGCTCTTACCAGAATGATCCATTAAGTTCTATTTTCATTCAAAGGCTTTTCTAGCTGAAAGTTTCAAGCTCTTTCACATTCTTCCCGCAAACTGTTTCCAAAGGCTAAAGAACCAAAATAAATGACCAGGTTTATCATAACAGTGACCCCATTTCCTGCTACCATTTTTCTTAGTTACATGTCTATTACTGTGAGAAAAATATGCTGGCAAAACCTATTCAAGGAAGGATACACTAATTCTGGCTCATGGTTGCAGTACAAGTTTAATCATTGTGGGAAAAATCAAGCAGTAGCTTGAGGCTGCTAGTGATGTTGCATACAGTTACGAAGCAAGGAGTGATAAAAACGATAAATGCCTTGGCTCAATTCTTTTCTTCATTTTATGCAGTCCAGGATCCCATCTGAGACATGGTGTCACCTACTATGGGAAAACCTCCCCATCTCACTTTACCTAATCCCCAGAGGTTTGGGAATTTCGTGTCATGCACCCTATCACACTCACTTTCCACCTCTGCCAGGCCCACCCTCCTGCCCTTGTCCCACCACCCCGCAAACAAAGCGAACAAGTCCGGTTTGTGTTGCTCTTCTTCTCATTTGAGCATTGCCACACTCCCAATGGCCTGCTCCTTATAGACAACTGAGTCCCTCACAACCTCCCTTCCAGAAGCCATTAACTGTGAGGAGATGCAATTCAGCATCTTTATCACAGTTTTTAAGGACTCTCTCCAATGTTCTTGGTGGCTGGCATGAGAGTTTACCACAGAAGACGTCAAGGTTTTCCATTCTCACTTATGAGTCTGCAGTCTTTAATAAAGCCAAAAATGCTTCCTTGCCCATTGCAGCCAGTGGCAAGCATGGATCATGGGCATCAACACGGCCTCTGGAGGCAGCATGTATCTCAGACATCAACTTGGCCTGCAGTGGTGGTGGTGTATGTCTTTAATCTCAGCACTTGGGAGGCAGAGCTAGGTGGGTCTTTGTGAGCTCAAGGCCAGCCTACTTACTGAGTTTCAGAATAGTCAGAGCTATGTAGAGAGACCCTGTCACAAAAAAACACACAAAACACTTCATTTAACTTAATCAAGATAAGCGCCCACAAGCATGTCCTGAGGCCCATCTGCCAGATGATTCTGGGGCTCATCATGTTGGCAACTATCTTAGTTAGGGTTTCTTTTGCTGTAAAGAAACACCATGACCATGCAACTTTTATAAAGGAAAACATTTAGTTGGGGTGTCAGCTTACAGTTTCAGAGGTTTAGCCCATTATCATCATGGTGGGGAGCATGACAGCATGCAGGCAAACATGGTGCTGGAGAAGGAGCTGCTACACGTTCATATGCAGGCAACAGGAAGTAGACTGAATGTCACACTGAGGGACGCTTGAGCAAAAGAGACCTCAAAGCCCACCTCCACAGTGACACAGTTCCTCCAACAAGACCGTACATA